GGGCAGGACTTATTACTTGTACCCGTAGGGAGGTCAGTCTAGGCACAGTTGAAATCTTTTAAAATATCATATATCAGGTAGTGATTCAGCTTCAGTTCTGAAATTAAAATAAAATATTAAAATAAATTCATTATTATTACAAGCAGTGAATATCAAGTGATGCTGTAATTAATGAAGGTATACAGTTCACTCACCTGTAAACATACTGGGGCATGACTTACAACTTGTTCCTATAGATCTTGTAGCATAGGCGCAGTGAAATACTTGTGTGATATATGATTTCTCGGGCAGTGATTCAGCTTTAATTCTGAAATTAAATTTAATTACTAAAATTAATTCATTAATATTACTAGCAGTGAATATCAAGTGATGCTTTAATTAATGAAAGTATACAGTTCACTCACATTAAAACATAATGGGGCATAACATATAACTTGTACCCGTGGGGGGGCAGTCTAGCCACCGATGAAATCTTTTAATGTATGATTTCTGAGGTAGTGATTCAGCTCTAATTCTGATATTAAATTAAATTATTAAAATTAATTCAATAATATTACAAGCAGTGTATATCAAGCGATGCTTTAATTAATGAAGGTATACAGTTCACTCATCTAAAACATACTGGGGCGGGACTTATTACTTGTACCCGTTGGGAGGTCAGTCTAGGCACAGTTGAAATCGTTTAAAATATGATTTATCAGGTAATGATTCAGCTTCAGTTCTGAAATTAAATTAAAATATTAAAATTAATTCATTATTATTACAAGCAGTGAATATCAAGTGATGCTTTAATTAATAAAGGTATACAGTTCACTCACCTGAAAAGATACTGCGGCATGACTTACAACTTGTTCCTATAGATCTTGTAGCCTAGGCACAGTGAAATACTTGTGCGATATATGATTTCACAGGCGGTGATTCAGCTCTTATTCTGAGATTAAATTTAATTATTAAAATTAATTAATTAATATTACGAGCAGTGAATATCAAGTGAAGCTTTAATTAATGAAAGTATACAGTTCACTCACCTGAAAACATACTGAGGCATAACTTGTAACCGTGGGGGAGGGGTAGCCACAGTTGAAATCTTTTAAAGTATGATTTCTCAGTACTGATTCAGCTCTAATTCTGAAATTAAATTAAATTATTAAAATTAATTCATAATATTACAAGCAGTGTATATCAGCGATGCTT